GAGTGAGACTTCTCTGACTGATGTCAAAGAGCTGCCTCCAAATGCCACCCACCCACCTTCCATTTCAGATGGAAACCAAGACCCCACAAAGGAGACCAGAACCGCGAAGGAGAACAGAGCATTGCAGCATGCATACAGCTCTTGTCTCATGAATTTTAAGTCCCCTGCTCTTTTCCCTCCGCAAGTAGACTACCTTTATTTCAAACCATCTCTGTGTTCTATTCAGTCATGACATCACTGCACCTAACCGAATATATGCAATTACTGGTCTTAAACACAACTTCAGGACACCCCTACACAACCTTCCCTGAGACAAAAATTTCAGAATAGCTACCAGCACCTGAAAAACAAGCAGGTGTTTCTGGTGCTTTTTTCTGATTCCTGGAAAAAGTGAGTTATATAATTCCACGGGCAACACTCCTTAAGACCATAAAATACCCATCAGGTGAGAAATCTGTTGAGGTCACCATCTGCCTCGGTGGTGTTGACTCCGTGATGGGCAACGCTCAGCAGACAGGCAAAGAAGGGACACCAGCCGTCTCACACACAACTGGCCCATAACGCATTAGGTCAATGGCGCCAAAGAGCTTTGACATGACCCCTCATTGGTACTGCCCGGTGGACACCACCATCGTTGAAGCACCCTAATAATGAATGAGCAAACAATAACCCACTGGGGGGCATCCCTATCACCTCCTAGCCTTCGTGCCTTTAAAATAAAGTAAGCGAACCCCTGCAGGGAGGTTTGCGAGGACTGAGTGAACAGCTACAGCAATCCAAGGCTGGCCACACTGCAGGCCCTCCGTGAGTCTGCTGCTGATGCATAGCGGTCGGACCGTTTTGAAGCAAAAATGAGGTAAAGCATGCAGGACGCATCACGTGGCAGGGTAACCAAAAAGGTAGTAAGTCCATGGGAGGTAAACGAAAATGAGTATTTGAATGGAGGTAGAACTAACCAACTCAAGATATAAAGGCAAAATGGGAGACAATTAACGAGGGGAAGGAGAGGCAAGAACCACCCATCAATAAATTCCAGGCATTCCCATCAGAAAGCATGGGAGAGGAGATTTCTCTTTTATATCGGAGGTCTTTGGACCCTTGTCACGAAAAAATAAATATGAGGTAGATTTGATGGGACACAAGCGTTGGATAGATGTGCCTTCCCAATGACCAAGGTGTAGAGCAAAACAAAGAGGAAATAAGTTGATAAAAGAGCATCCTCTTTGAAAATAAATGGAACACCAGTTCGATCGCTAGACTTAAAATAGGCACAATTAACTTCCTTATAGCTATGATGATACCTCCCAGTTTGCCTGGGACGATCCCAGTTTATTAACAGCATATTAACTACTCTCAAGCATCCCGGACTAGCCCGTAAATTATAGGGTTGATGGCCAGCAAGATTGAGTCACACAGTTCTGACTAAAGAAAACATCCCTATTTCAAAAAGCAAGCGTGAAGATCCTCCCGTTTATAGGACAAGTGTCTTATAATAATTATTTTTTTAACTAAGGCTCAGTTTAGAGGACGGTATTTGACAGATATTAGCCATGCCATATTTGGCTAGTTGCAACTGCTTCTGGGGATCAACAATGATCTTAATATGCTGTCCAGCGATGTTAATAAGAATGGAAATTATAAAGGGATCGGGTGTCCTGGATGCCGGTCGTGGGCTGTGAAACTTCCCACAATCACCTTGCAAGGCAGAGAAGGCTACAACTTTCTACAGAGAATCTGATGAAATTCACTGCCTTTCTGGGCATCACAGCTCAGACATGGGGTGTGGGGAAGATGCTAGTTCACTTCCGCCTCGTTCTGAAATCTATGTTCACACCATGCACCAGCCTCCTGCTTGGACCGTAATTCCTCTTGTTGACCCTCTCTTTTGGGTGGGGAAACAGCGTTTATTACTCCATAAAAATAATGATATCCAGCAATATTTTTCCATTTCTTAGGCAGGAAAAGAGCATTTATGCACTAATGACGTTTTGAAGAAGAAACTCAGTATTTCAATGTTTTGCTCAAAACATATCTACCCGTATCAAAAGCACTAATTAGAACGTTCGTCGCCACGCGGGCTGGGCCATTTTATTTGATCATCTTTTTAAATATCTGGATCCCCGTGGTTTAAAAATAGGTCTCAAGACTCAAAATAGCGACTTCATTGAAGCTAAAGTGCGGGCCGGGGACGGTTTTCAAGAGGATCTGAGCACATGCAAGATCCGTGATGGAGATAAACTAAGTCACATCTGAAAATCTCTACCACCCGTGTATAATCAGCAAAGTTGGCACATTTCACCCCAGCAAATAAAAGGGGGTCTGTGGTGTTCTAAGCGCCTCCACAGTAGCTCATTCGTGGAATGTAAATAGACTGGCATAGAAATGCTAAACTGATTCTTTGATTTCTCGGTCACCCACTACAGCTCTGTTATGTACCATGATTTCTTTTTTTAACTCTCAGTTGCCAAAGGTAGACTTCAAATTTTTCAATGAGAAAAATTCTAAAAGCAAACCTCTTTTCTTAAATTATATGTATATATATATAATTTATATGCATAATCCCTACAGCATTTTCTTAAATTACATATATGTGTATATATATATATTGTGTGTGTGTGTGTGTGTGTGTGTGCACCATCCTCACAGCGTTTTCCAGATCTGCACATCATTTCACAAACCGGCCAGATTGATAGGAGATCTCTATGTAAAGCTGCATAATACAGCTTAGCTTGACAGGGGGAAAATCAATTTGCTTTGAAATCTAACCTTTTAAGGAATGTCAACACATCATGCACGCAAGAGAACATTTTGTTACTCCACCAAAGCAAGAACTTGCTGCAAGTCCATGGCTTCATTCAGAAAACAGAGCCCAGAGCTCCTCCTCAGTGGGATGGGACTACGCACAACCCTACACACTGTCCTCTTTGAAAAGGCTCTGTGCAGTGCTCCAACGCGTGGTTTCCTCTCTCCACCTCTTTGTTAGAATGGACCTTTTGTAAGAGATCAAGAAACATGATTTCCTGTTTCAAGCACCAGTGGCCAAAGGGACTAACCAGAAGCCGCTGGAAAATGTAGGGACACGCACGCAATCAGTGCTACGTGAAATTAACTAAAATGATTCTACCAAGACCTGGCTCATGAGACCTATGAAAAAAGAAAAAGAAATAAAATCACAAAGTGAGTGGGCTCTTGATGCTAAAGCTTTTTACTTCCTTTAAAGCAAAAAAAAAAAAAAAAAAAGACAAAAAAAAGAAAAGAATGGAAGAAAAAAACAATGGGGAATTTCGAGGGCTTTATTGATGCTCCAAAAGGCACAACTTGGCAAAACATCTGTAGGCGATTTACATTTCTAAGTTAGAAATGCGTTTCTACCAGACACCCCGCTCCAGGGGTCTCTCACAGGTGAATGTCTTCCCATGAAAATGAAAAAAAAAAAATGTTCAAAACAAAATTAAAACATCAAGGCAAAAATAAAATATTCTTGCTAATATTTGCCTATTTGGAGAGAACATTCTCAGCTGTATTTTTGTTTCATACAGCTCCATTGTGCCCTTTATTTATCTTACTGTAACCACATTGCAATATACACGTTTCAATCTGTAGAGTCACACTGTGAAAGACTCAATTTCCAGCACCATCTTAAAGCATTGCTGTCCTGAAAACGTTTTTACCTATGCCTAGGAATATCAGTCACAAAGTATACAACAAGCAGACAAAACTGCAAAAGAAGATAAATCTGAAAATATTGCCCCCTGCCAAATCTGTATTTTCTCTAAGTTGCCCGCTGGGGAAAAAAATGAAGGAAACATCAGAACAAATGGAGAGCCACGTTGGTGGATTTCCATGAACTTAGCAAGCGTCCTTTTATGGTCAATTGTGAACTGTTGCAAAAATTCGATCAAGAGCTGAGCTCCATTGTGTGCAACTACAATGGTCCTTGTGACCCCAAAGCAGGGGCCCAACGCACACAGATAATCAGTTTAAGGAATTAGGTGAAAGGTTTTCCAACACAAGAGAAACAAAGTAACGTAACTACTTAACCACAGAAGAAAGCCAATGTCTATGGCTACCATCACCCGTTAGCAAAGTATCACCCATCAGCAAAGGTGTTCACTCTACAGAGCTGTGTAGCCTCCCAGGATATTCTCGCGGCACCCCCCCAAAAGAAGAGTTTCCTTTTACTTAGGTGACCTTGGAGTCTGCCTTTTGTTTGAGGAAGGGTGGGGGTTCCCTGGAATACAATCCAAGAATTAAGCAGTGCAAGCTAAGAAGGCAGACCCTGCTACAAACATCTCTTGCCCCAACCAGGAAGCCCAGGGAGGTAGAACTTCCTACGCATTGGAGTAACACGGTTCAAATCCGTCAGTCCCCGCACAACGAAAAGCGTTTGTCACGGCGTCTGGTGCAGCGTTGACATGAGGCAATGACTTACCTAGAATGCCCAGCCGGTAGTTAATGGTTATCACGATGACGTTTCCGTAGCTTGCCAGAACGCTCCCATCTATCATATTGCCGGTGCCTTCCATGTAAGACCCGCCGTGGATATAGACCATTACCGGCTTCTTACTGTTCTGATCATGGATGTCTGGAAAAAAAGTCAAGTAAGGAAACACAATAAAAAATCACACTGATTAACAGAGGCTAAGGGCAAGGGACATGGATTACTTTTCCCTGTTTCGACCAGAATCAACCAGGTGTCTACTTTTGAGTTATATACACCTTGATAAGACTGCTTAAGAAAAGGGGTCCATGGGATGATGTTTTCTAGTCCTACAAATGGTATTTTGAGAAGCATACAGACATTTGAAGTCATAGGAATGCATGTGTACATTGCTGTATATATCTAAAACATTGAAATATAGAGAATTTAGATGAAATACTTATTTCCTAAACAGGGCTCCAGTCCTAAGATCCGACTTATTGAAGAAGCACATAGCATGATGTTTTCAGCCTCTAGGTAAGTGTGGAATCAACTTCAAAATGATCATTGATCTTTACTATTACTGCCCTCTTCATTCAAAGGTGAGCTTACAGATTCATTCTCAACCTCACAATGAGCACACAAGACTAGCAGTGAGACTGTAAATGCTCAATACGGGACAGATGACGACAAAAACCAAACAAAGGGTGAAAAATTATCAACAGAACAGAAATGAGTACCATCGAAAACAAAGCAAAACAAGATGCCCAAGCAAACGTCTTTGTTCTCATTTACTGGCTGTAGTCAGAGCTCGACACATTTAACTAACAAACACAAAAGCCACATAATAAAAATGACACAAGACTCTGGCCTCAAGATGGAAATCGTGAAATGCTACATATTTTCACAGGGACTATGAACTCCCATTGTGATGTGCAACCAATGGGAACCCTTAGTCATTCCTTTGTTGCTTTACTGAGCAGTGATGTAAAAACAATGTTTTGCAATGGTCTGTGAGCACAGAAATTCGGAGACCATGTGTCCATTTGCAGAAACTGCTTTCTAAAAAGGTATTGATTACGTAACCTGCTTAATCAGTCCTTACACTTCTATTGAATGTTTCAGAAGACTAACCTCAATGATGATTATTTCTGAATCTCTAGGTATATATATGGATATATCCACACATATGTGTGTGAAAATAATTTAAATATCTGTATGTTATCAAAAGAAACCCAAATGTACCCATGTACATTTATTTTCACCTTTTTATCAATCAAGGCTTTTTTTTTTTTCCTCTCTTAATTCACCAAGACACTTTTGAAGTATCGGAAAGGAATTTCAAGGAAATGAACCACTATCATTTAGATGGTGGCTGCTAATAAAATGAATTATGATCACAATGTCAAAACGAGTTCACTGGCTGCTTCACTAAGGCATGCAGAAGGCTCGAGAAACCCACTGGTCACAGTCAAGTACAGGAAAGAGTATCACGGCCCCATGGTTCTGCAGATAATGAATAGATAGCAGAACAGATCTTATTTTCTCAAATAAAATGCAAATATAGAGTAAAAGTCCTTTATTCATCATCTAAGCATCATGCACTATGTGGGATTTTGAAAGACATGGTTGTTCTGGAAAGGTGTGGCATTGTGCATGATTTATTCCTCTCTCTCTCTGGATCCTGATTTAGTGGATTTGCCCTCATTTCTTTCCCCAGTACACGCTGTTGGCTACTCCAACGTGGGAAAGGAGTAAGTAGAGATTTTGAGGGCTGTTTGAAGGGGTTTCCTTGAAGAAAATGTTAGGCTAACATCTCTGAGCTTTCTAAAGCCATAGAACAAGGTTCTCATGATCTTGAGGAGGTAATAACAAGATGTCGTATTAATGCAAAGTAAAAAGAAAAAAGAAATCACAAGTTATTGTTATTCAATGAAAATTAGGGGGCATTTTATGGTAAGAAAGTTGCATTTCGAGCATTGGGAAAACAGGTCCTAAGCATCAAACGGAAATGCACAAATAAGGGATACAGAACAAGAGGCAAATGATCTTTCTTGCTGGGCAACAGAACAAAGAAAAGGTTTGGGGTTTAGTTTTAATACATTTTTTTCTTATTTTTATGTGGTCTGATAGAATCTTTTTAAAATTAAAAAGAGTTTTTTTGCTTTAATACATTTTTTAATTCTGGTAAGACTGCAGGTATTCCGGGGCCGTCTGCAAAGGACAGGTGGACGGGCGAGGTGCAGGATATGCTCCCCCCTAAGGCCATCACAAAAGATCTCGCAAACAGACGTTCAGAGGTAGGGACAGCCCTGCGAACGCAGGGGAATGACAATAATAGTAAAATAATAACAATATGAAGAGAGGCAGGCATGAAAGCAACATGGGCCAAACTTTCAGGATTGCAGTGGATTTAGAAAAGAGGTCAAAGCCAGTAACGCAAGCTGTAGAGGGGAGGGCCCCCGGAGGGACTTCTCACTGCCTGGGGGTTAGAACTCACCGGACGCTTCCCTGCCTTACATTGCCTGTCAGCCCCAAACCCAAAAGGTCTTCAAGGGCCTTCGTCCTCTGTGGTAAATAAACGGAGGTCCGTGCATTTTGCTCCCCCTTGATGGGAGAATGGTGCTTCTCACCCACCCTACGGGGCCTGCACGGCAACATACTTGGGCCGTTTGCTTTCTTTGAAAGTATGGATTCTGCCGAAGGCATCGGGATACCTTGCGTTCCTTCTCGCTCGGAGGCCACTACCTTCCATATTGTCAAGAACAGGAATTGACATCCGGTGTCTAATCTGTCAAGTAACTTGGGATCCTTCACGAAGCAACTTTCCATAGCAACCAAACATTTGGGGGGGGTGGGGGCGGTGACTGGTGAAAAAAGTTTTCAAACTAGCCAGGGTGGGAAAAGGAAAAGGCATAGATGTATGGTTTCTGACCTTTTTGTTTTCGGATCTATGCTATCCCTGTTCCCCACCAACCCCCTTAAATGCTAAAGAGCAGCCCTCAGACAAATAACATCTCGCTAAAATATTTTTTCATGTATTTCACTGTGAACCAGAGAAGATTCTTTGAAACCTACTTTTAAATCCGTATATTTAAAAAAAAAAGAAAAAGAAAAAGAAACAAAAGCAGAAATGCCAGACACCCAAAAAGTTGTACGAAGGTGTCTCTCAGAGTTTGGCAGCTCGTAGAAGGAATTAAGAAGACCAAAGCTCCAAAATACAATATAACTTACAAAATAACCTTTGGAAGGAAGAAAAGAACATATACATGCATGTTCTAAAATTTCATTTTCTCTTCTTATGACCAAGCCAAAAAAAGAAAAAAAAAAAGGAAAAAACAAAAATGTTGTAATAACATTTTTTTTTTTTACTCACTTCATATTTAGAAACGTTTATACTTCTCACAGGTGGTTTGCATTCATGTACAGGGTCCTTGGGACTAAAAGGGACAGTGGTTTCCAAACAAGAAGGAAATAAAGAAGCACACAAAAGTGTACTCATTTCAGAGAAGAGGAGGAAAAAGAGATTGAAATTAAAAAAAAAAAAAAAGAGAGAGAGAGAGAGAAAACCATGCATCAGGGTCGAGCTTTGAAAAAACAAAAAATACCTTCATCTTCACCACGGTCATTACTGCTTATATCATCTGCGTTTTTCTTTGTGTTGGCTCCTGGGGTCATATTGAGAAGGAAAATAAAGGGAAAAAAGAGAATTCAAAAACAACAGGTTTGCAAAAAAAATCAGAAGAGAGAGAGATACTACCCAGTAAAAGAAAAAAAAAATGTCACACAAAAAGTTGAAAGTTGTTACATTTGGATTTCAAAAAAATGAGATAGGGCAATGCAAAATGCATAAAAACATAAAGATGTCAAGAAGAACAAATTCAAAATGTTACTTGCAAAAAATATTCTCTATCCTGTGAAAATGCAGTTTGGGGGTTAAAATGATAATACTGCAAAAAAAAAAAAAAAAAGAGCTAATGTGAGTTTGAAAAAAAGAAAATTAAATTATTAAAAAGGATCTCCCACATTCTTAAAAGAAATGCATATGAAGTATTCAATGTTCCTCTAATTTTAACATGTGATAATCTACATAAATTCATGAAATGTCACCAATACACTTTCGTTAGGACATTCCACAGGGTAAGAGAAAACACATTTATGCAATAAACACAGAAGGACTTTCAATAAGACACTTAAAATTGACATTCATTTCATGCAGAAGAACTTAAAACAGAGCATTTCAAATACAGATCAGAAATGTCAGTCAATTTGTTAATTTAAATCATGACAGTCACCTCTCGTCAGTGGCTAGAGAGCTATTGCCCAGCACTCGCTCCTGTTTAGTATAAAAAGAAAACAGCAACAACACAACTACCATTTTCAATAAGGTTTTCTTAAGACAAGAGAAAACATTATACATCACGTTCTCTGTGTTTGAAACACTTATTAAATATTACTTTGGTGTCATTGCTCCTTGAATTTAAGATAAATAAATAAAACCACCTACCTTGATGACCTGTAACATAAGCTAACCTAAGAATCTCCATGGGAGGTGGGGGCATCCCTTAACTACACCAAAAAACACTCTCTTACACATTCTGTATATAGAATGCACCACTTTGGTTTCTCCTATTTTCCAGACACAACACGCTAAAACATTTCACACTGCTTGAATTGTTTGGTTAATTAGCTCAATTGTCTTCTTTTTATAGACAGACATGGCCCCGGGGGAATGGGTATCCCAGATCCAGTAACTTCAAAAGTGCCTGAATGACATTCTTCTAGAAGTTCTACTTAACTCAAAGGAACTCATCATGTTTCAAAACCAAGATGTGAAGTTGCTGTTTTTGTAGGTCAGTTACGGTTTACATATTGTCCATTTTATGTGGTTCAACACTTCTTAGCAAGCAGACCTGGGTGGATGGGTGGGAAATCTGATTTGCTGATTTTTGAGGCTTAACTATTCCCACTCTAGATAATTTCAAGCCTCTAATTTAAGGTCACTGAAGACAGCCAGGAAGAGGTGTCTGGGACCCCTTGAAACTCCAGGTTACCAGTAATTCAACCTCATCTACCTAAAAGCAGAGTTGAGTCTTGTCGGAACCCACCTGTTCTCCTTACAACACATTCATTTCCAAACCCTTAGAAAGTATCATAACATTGATATGTCAACCTCTTATAGTCATTAGCTTGATACCAAAATCTATTTATATCCAACAACAGCACTGCATTGAAGTATCACAAGAAAAAACCTTAAAAAAAATCAAATGAGCTTGACTGTCTTTGGGGATGTTTTTGTCAGGGTTTATCAGTCTAGAACCTATCTCAAAGCAAACTCATGGACTTGAATTTATGATGAAATTGTGTACAGGAGCCTAAAAGGGACGCCCTTCCTAAAGTACGCGACGTGAAACGATACACAAAACTGTTTTACAAAACAAGTCCTCTCATTTTCGGGGAAAAAAAAAAAAAATTCCATTCATTCATGGAAGAAGATTTTATAAGCTTCTATAGAAACAGGCCAGTTCTTTCATTTAAAAAGAAAAAAAAAATGGCTGGAAAAAAATTAAGGTGTAGTCAAATCCACAGGAGTGAGAAGGTACTCCCCAATTCAGCAGATTCCTTCCAACAAAATGTGTTCCTTTCAAGTTTGACTCCCTCTTGTTCTAACGCAGCGTCCAGAACACACGCTCTCAACATGGAGAAGGCGTTCTTTAATGAAGACCCCACAACTGCACTTTAACCTCCCCAGGAACACGTCCTTATAATCCTGCCCCTTCCTGAATATTCTTGTTGGGAATCTCTCTTCTCTTCCGAGCTGTGTGCTGTGTCCTGGCGTCAGCCCGAAGTCCATTCCGCAAGCCAGGCGTCAGGGGAGTGAAACGCCAGAAACCTCCCCTAAGACCCACCTCTCCGTGCCTTCAGGCTCACTGCCAGGGCGCAAAATGGGAGTGATCTGAAATACGTCTCAGGCTGGATGCTCTCTCTTCCCCAACAGAGAGAGCAAAGGTCTGAAGATTAGTAATGCTTTCACAATTTCCATAACGTATTTCCATCAAGGATAAAGTAGCAATCTGGGATAACCTCCTGCCTCTTTGATTCCCTGCCAAATTTCTCTTGTTAGCCAAAGTGTGATTTTTAAGACTTTTACGGACGTATGACTTACATATCATAAAATCAACTCATCAAAGCATAACATCCGCTTTTTCATGGACTTGTGCAACCATCGGCATAACGAACTAACTTTAGAACATTTCCATCAACCCCAAAAAGACTGTGTCCAACTGCGGGTTCCATGTTCCTATCCTCAGTCTCGTTTATCTACTTTCTATCTTTCTAGATTCGCCATTTTTGAGTGTTTTGTATAAAAGAATTCATATCCTATGTCGTCTCTAGTGTCTGCTTCCTATCACTTAGCGTATTGTTTCCAAAGTCCTGCATGCTATAGCAGGGATCAGTTCTTCATTCTTTTGTATGGATGAATAATACCCCACTGTATGGACACACCAAATTTTGTTGTTCCATCCATCAGTTGATGGGCATTTGGACTGTTTTCACTTGGCAGCTCTTATGAATAATGCTGCTATAAACACTTGAGGACAATGTTTTTGTTGGGATATTTGTTTCCCTGGCTCTTGGTTAGATATCTAGGAGTGGGATTGCTATTTTATAGGGCAAATTGATATTTTAAGAAACTGCCACACTGTGTTCCAAATCAGCTGCATCATGGTGCATTTCCATCAGCCGATATAGGGGTTCCAGTTTCTACATCCTGTAGCCAAGCCTTGCATTATCGTTTTGGTGATAGCCATCTTAAAGGGTGTAAAATGGTGTCTCCTTGTGGTTTTAATCTGCAGCTTGCTAATGACATAGCGATGTCCAGCATCTTCTCACGTACCATCTTCTTTGGTGGGATGTTTGCTCAAATATTTTGCCCATCTTTAAAATGGGGTTCTTTGTCCCCTATTATTGGAATATAAGTGTTCTTTACATTTTTCAGATGCAGGTCTTTTCCCGGAAATATGATCTGCAAATCTTTGCTCCTAGTCTGGGCCTTCTCTTTTGGTTTTCCCAATGGCGTCTTTTGAAGTGCAAAAGTTTGCTTTTAATTTTGACGAGGTTGATTTTATCAATTTTCTTTCAATGCTTGTGCTTTTCATCTCATATCTAAGAAATCCTTGCCTAACCCAAGACCCTGAAGATTTTCTCTTATGCTCTTTCCTACACTTGATCGTAGCCAAAAGGCCAAGAAATGATGTCTTATGCTCTTTCCTAAACGTTTAAGAGCTGTAGTTCTTACACCTTTTAAGTATTTGAGTTACTTCCAGTGTATGATAGGAGGATAGGGTTGAAATTCATTGTTTGCATTTGAATATCCCATTGTTTCAGCACCATTTACTGAAACACTAACTTCTCCCTCATTAAATTCTTGAGACACCATTGCTGAAAGCCAGTTGACTATAAATGCCAGGACTGTATTTATTTCTGGACTCTTTTAATTATATTCCATCCTGCGTTTCTCTCCACAGGAGCCCCCGACTGTCCTGATGAATATAGCTTTAGAGTATGCTTTAAAACGAGGAAGGAGAAGCTCTCCAACTTTCTCCTGCTTTTTCAAGATAATTTGCTTATTCTAGATCTTCTGCCTTTCCACACGAATTTTCAAATGAGCTTGTCAACTGAAGAAAAAAAAACCACCCACTGAGATTGTGACAGAAAGTGTTTGCCCAACCGCAATTTTGAATTAATTGTAGATAGCAAGTGTGACCCAGAAACATAATTAGATATCATCTTTAATGTACTATGTGTACTTAATTTTTCACCTTTTGTTCTTTTTCAATAAGCTGTTGCTGTATTTTTCCTTGCAAATATAGCTAATTAAATGACCTCAAAACCAACGGAGTTCTCTTAAATATCTAATTTCGTTAGAATCATGAACTATGGAAAAATAGGCTCTGCTGGAATTTATTCCCGAGTAAACCCGTCTTGTGCATGCCAAAAAAAAGGCATTTCAAAACCCATACACACCACGAGTTTTTTTCCTCCCTCTCCACATCTACACCTTCCCCCAAATGCCAGAAAAAATATTCCTTTACATCTAATAATTAGCCTCTCTATCAAACCTCCATGGGGAAATAGCTCTAAATTTTAAAGAGAATATTTAAGCAACTTCAAACAAATATATAACTGTTCCATTATTAAAATTTAAGTATGATTTTATAAATAAAATATCTCAACGTCCCTGGTCCTGAAGGATGTCCATCATTTCTTTATACCTGTTCTTCTCATGTTCCGTTTTTGTGCTCTAACTCCATCATTTTCTGAAGTAAGACTATTTAAAGGAGTACTTTGTACGCTAAATGGAAGAGAAATACTTTGTAGAGAATTTATGAAATTTGGGGAGGAAGCCCACAGAGATAAAGGGCCCTCCTGATCACATCATACGAAGGGTGCATGTTTGTCCCCATGACTCATCACTGCTGACGTTGGCCTTGACCACCTGGCTGAGGTATGTTTGCCAAATTTCTCCACTGTAAAATTACATGTTCTCTGCCCCTCTCCGTATCATACTCTTTGGAAGGAAGTCAATATGCACAGCCAAACCTCAGGAGTAGAGGTTGAAGGAGAGGATCTACATATACTGAGAATATGGTATGATACAGACA